TTTAAATATCTTTTAACACATATCAACTCATTTAATACCTGCAACAGCTCCCTGAGGGTAGATGGTATTTTTTTTTCAAATGGAATAAATGAAAATATTATTATCTACGTTTTATAGACGAAGAAGCAAGCAGAGACATTGTGACTTAACCTAAGGTCACACAGATAGTAACTTGCAGAACTGGGTCTCAGATTTAGGTCTTGCTGGCTCCATTCTCAGTAGGTTCCCTTTTCCAACATGACACCCCTTTTCAATTTTGTTTCCCAATAGTAAGAAGGCCTGTGTCCCATAAGGATTCGGTAGTTTAATTTAGAATTTTACAAATACCAAAGGTTGTGCAAACTGTAAATATGTCAAAATAGATCTTCTAACACTTTTCTAAATCCTGAGAGCAAAAATATTCTTAGATCATATGGTAATTCGATTTATACAATTACTCCTTAATATAAATATCATTTTTTTGGTTGAATTTTTTTCCTCTCTTCAGGATAAAAAACATTCTAATGAATACAGACTGCCCTAAAAGTCCTGGTGAAGTATTAAGCTTCAAGCTTAAAAATCTTAAATACATTAATTTACATCATTCATTTAAGCTTGAAACTTAGAGCTGCACTAAGACTTTTGGGACATGCTGCATTGTTATCTTTTTTAAGTTTTTTTTTTGCCCTAATATCTTTATACTTGCAACCTAAACTTCTTATTTTAACTCCTGAGCACAAAAATGTCTTTCTCCTGGTCTTTGTAATTTTTCACTATGAATAGTTAAAAACAAATCTTGTGTGTATCTTTTGTTGGTGACCTGGAACTAGTTGAAATGTAAGTGCTTCATAAAACATCTTAACTACAGATATTATCTTGGTTTTTGTGAAGCATGAAATAGTTCAGTTTATTGACTGATTGTTGTGTCACTAGAGAGAAATGAATTTTCTCTGTGTGTGTTTTATTGTATCTTTTCGGTGGATTCAGCATTAAAATAAATAATGTGGTAATGGGAGAAGATATAGCTTAATGATTTGACTAGAGGAGAGGGAGTCAGGAACTCTAGGTTGTAATAGAATCAGAACCCCTGACTTCCTCTATGGCTTTGGCTAAAGCACTTAACCTTTCTCTGCCAACATTTTCTCATCTGCAAGAACATTGACCTGTTTTTACTAGAGTGGAGTCAGAAATAGTATTTGCCTAGTGCATTGAGATTCTTAGATGGCTGATGTCATAAAAGAAAATATTATTACCGTTATCATTATTTAGTTTCATAAATACATTCTTCTCTATAGGTACCTCCATTGGTAATAGCCTTTTGTTATTACCTTCATTCCTCCCCACTAACCTTTATCTCCTAAGCAAAACAATTTGGAAGGATGTTATAGGTATTTTAAGATCAAGTACCCTTTTTTTTTTTAATAAGCTGCCTCCCATTGACCTCCAAGCTATTTTCCTTCAAATGAAAGAAAAGCTTTTTATTAATTTCTGAATTTTATCAATTCTACATATTTTCTTATTACTCCGATTTTTTTGCTTTTGTTTAGTGGAGGGGCCATATGATGAAAAAATTTACAAACCACAGAATGAGAGATTTGTTGCTGCTAAAAGATCGGTTTCCCCTCATTTTTAGTCCAGAATACTGTGGAAATTAGAAATATTAGACATTACTGTCAATTAACGTACCTTCATCCAGGTCAGGGGAGAGAAAGCAAGCAAAAATGAATGAACAAATGAATGAAAAAGCATTTGTTAAGCACTGTGCACCCAGCACTGGGTACAAGAGCTTTGCAAACTTCTGGGATATCCTATTTAAATGCTAACTATTAATAAATACTAGCCATCACTCAAAAAATCCATCTCACTATCTTGACATAGTGCCTGAAATTTCACCAATTAGAGATTCATTTCTTTGGGATAAGGCTTCATGTTTAACCTCATGTTTAACCATGTAGCCTAAAAAAGAATATATAATATTCTACTATGAGGAAACAAAACTTGATTTTATTTTACCTGAACAATACAGCCACTATTCCAGTACAACCTTTTAGTACCTGAAGGAATGTAATAGGTTCCTGCTGATCACATGCAGACTTTGAGATTGATTTTGTGATCTGTGATTTTGCTGAGATTGGTTCTTCCTTCGTTAATATAGCTCACCACCTCTCTATGACTTAGGGAATTGTTTTTGAGAGTTAACTGTGGCTGCCAAATTCATCACCCTTTGGCCCACCCAGTGCTGAGTCTCTCTGAGCTAAGCAGGACTGGTCCTGGATGATAAGCATACAGTTCACCCTCAGAGCCTTTCTAATAGACTTCATTCTTTACCACCATATTCTTTGAGAGCCCAGGGTCACCTTCATCCCACAATGAGGCATCAGAGTGGGACTCTGGTGAATTATTTTTGAAGGTTAATATGGTTGTGTAAATGCATGTGTTTATATGTGTTTGTGTGTATGCTGTATAGTTTCAGTGAAAGGATAGCCCTTGAGCATGTATGGATCTGGCTCGTCAAGGCTCTGTTATGGTTTGATCTCTTTCTAATTGGAAAAAGAGAGTGGAAATTTCCATTCAGCCCTGTAAATCTTCATTTTAACTCCATTAAATTGTAAGCTCCTTGAAAGCAAAGATTGTTGGTGCCTTTCTTTGTATCCCCAGCGCTTCAGCTCTAGTAGGTGCTTAATAAATGCTTGTACTTGATTGTACCATTCTTTACAAATTCTGAGCCTGGTAGCCATGCCGTGAAGATCAATTTAACTTTGGCCACTAGAGGGCAATATTTATTAATGAAACATTTGTGTTGTGGCTGGCTTATTTAAAGGCATGCTAAACATCTTAATTATTTTCTATTAATTTTAAAATCAAAAGAGCTACCTTATCCCTTCTACTCTGTTTCTTCCTTGTTCCTTCTCTCTCTCCTTTACTTTTATAAAAATGTTAACAGAGCATCTAAAAACCTCCTTTACTATCCTGACATCTTTTCCTAAATTTTTTTTAAAGAAAATTTTATTTTATATCTGTTGAGTTTTGTTAGGAAATAACGACATTATGTATTTCCCAACTTGGTGGTCACAGTCTTTGGAGTCAGAGTAAATGGTGTGGGAGACAGAGACACTGACACATATGACAATGTCATTAATAATGACGATGATAATAGCTAACGTTTTTATAGTGTTTGGGCAGCTAGGTGGCACAGTGGATAGAGCACTGGGCTTGGAATCAGGAAAGACTAATTTTTTAAAAAAATTAATTTATTTTGAATTATCAGCAATCACTTCCATAAGATTTGGGGTTTTAAATTTTTCTCCCTCTCCTTCCTCACCTCAAGACAGTGCGCAGTCTGATATAGGCTATACCTATACATTCCTATTAAACATATTTTCACATTAGTGATGTTGTAAGGATGAATTAGAACCAATAGGAGGAACCACCAGAAAGAGGAAATGAAACACAACAGAAAAAAAATAGCAAATAATATGTTTCAATCTGCATTCAAACTCCATAGTTCTTTCTTGGGATGTGGATAGCATTTTCCATCATGAGGCCTTTGGAGATGTCTTAGGTCCTTGAATTGCTGAGAAGGGCTAAGTCTATCAATATTAAAGACTCATCTTCTTGAGTTCAAATATGGCCTCAGACACTTACTAGCTATCTATCTGGGCTCAGACACTTACTAGCTATTGGGCAAATCACTGAACCCTGTTTGCCTTAGTTTCCTCATCTGTAAAATGAGCTGGAGAAGGAAATGGCAAATCACTCCAGTATCTTTGCCAAGAAAACTCCAAAATAGGCCCGCAAAGAGTTGGAAACAACTGAACAACAACATGTAGTGTTTATTATGTGCTAGGCACTGAGCTGAGCGCTTTACAATGATGATTTCATTTGAACCTCACAGCAACCCTGGGAGGGAGGTGTTGTTATCATCCTGATGTTACAAATGAGTCATTGAAGAATCATAGATCTTCGAATGGGAAGGAAACATAAAGACCAATCAAAGTCCAGCCCCTTAATTTTACAAATGAAGAGACTGATATGTCTAGCATGATGTTCTAGCGTGACCTTAGGGTTAAACTGTCTTTGTGATGACCAAAAATCTATTCTCTGCTATTCCTCCTTAAAGTTCTAGGCCAACAAGGCTGTTCTTGAAAAAGTGGTCCTTTTATCTTGAAAAGGTTGAGAGGGACACAATGATAGGCATTAGGTCAGTACTGTACTCTCCCTGGCCTCTAGAGAAAGTTTCTGGAATAAGCAGAATAGGAACAAACTGTGTTTTATTTATTTTAGAATGATTGTCCCCTAGACAGTCTCACCGGGCAGAGCTTTGTTTTTATGAGGATCCCAGGGGGGTGGCAGCTCCAGAGGTCTACTCATGCACATCAGAACCATATGAGTATTAAAATGCAGCCCACTCAGCTGAACAATAGAGCAGCTGAAGACAATGGTTCGTGTTTTAAAGGGATCAGAAATTCTGATAACACATCATTCTGTCGTCAGATGGATTAAATTTTCTGGTGGCAGAGTAGTCTGAAGGCTGTGAGATTGTAATGGGGTAAGGCCAGTATAAACACATTAAAAATAGCTGTCATTTGGATGACAGTATGCCCCGATTAGCAGCAGTCTCTAGGCCTCTTATTTTTACTCAAAGAATAAATCTGTTATAAGCTCATCTACTGAATTAGGACCTACGAGCCTTTTAATAGGATTTTTGAGAGGGAGTGGAAAATTTACAATGCCTCATAAATAGCCTGACATACAAGTTAAGATCGATAGAGGCCTAGCTATACACCTGTCAGCTATAAACCCTCAAAAACCCAGCAGTGATTTCAGACTCACTGTCACAATAGAGCCCATAGGCAGCAATCACATCTTCATCCAATATCATCAGGTACCAAAGGTCATGCTTCTTGGCTATTGTCTGCTTCTTGTTTTGTGGGGTTACATAGTTCCATGTACCCTTTGGGCATTTAATAAATACGAATTAGATTGAAATTCTGATTGGTGTTTCTCCATTGGACCTTCAGGTAGAAGAAGAAGAACCCACTGGATACATTCGCTTAGAAAAATTTCTTCCGATGATGGTTAAAGTGCTCTTGGAAAGAAGGTAAATGGACTAATAGAATTGTTCAGACCAGATATGATTGGGATTCTGTTGATTTCAGATGAAGACACTTGATATATAAAGTTAGCTCTAAGTTGTTTTTCCATTTTATAAACTGCCCACAGCAAATATTTAGCCCTGGACTCGTTTTCTCGAGCCTCTCTCCATACTTCTGCATTAACCTTGCTCCACTATCATTTGGTATGTGCTTAGGCATGCAAACTTATTTGTGTATCTGCCTAAGCAGAGCACCACTGGAGAGATGAATGGGCTGCCAAAATCATCATTATTTTAGAGTTAAATATAAATGCTTTTTATTGGCTGTTGGGTTTCTTCATAATGATACTCTCTTCCACGAACACATTTAATCAAGAATTAACTTGCAAAGTTTAAATTATTTTAGCTAGATAACTAGGAGCCTAGTTAGGCTGTGATAGGGTGATCACAGGAAAAAGGAAATTTGCCGTGGCAGTCAGCAGGTAAATATTTCAGGGTAATTCACAAAGGACTGTGTGTAGTTTGATTTTAAATCCATCAAAGATAGAAACTAAAATAATTGTTCCAGTGATTGTGGGCCTATTCTTTCTTCCAGAAGGCTTCCTGCTATACTTATCTTCTTGCCAGAGATGCTTACCAACTCTATTTATGTTCCATATAAGCTAAGATAAAAGCAAAATGTATAAAATGCCGGGTTGGGCTTGACGGCCTCTAAGGGCCTTTCCTGCTCTAAACCTATGAAATCTTTATGTGTAAGATGTGAACGTGTTGGAGGAATGCCCCTCTATCCTTCAAACTATTAAAAAGAGAAAGAGAATTTTTAGATAGGGTAGAAAAGTATGATATGAAGGAAGCCTAGAAGAAAAATCTTCTGAGCAGTTGGGGAAAAATTGGAATTGGTGTCAGGAGGTTGGAAAGTGGAAAATATGGCACAAAGGGAAGAGAGAGAGGAAAAGAAATTTTGAATCACTAGTAATCTATAGCAGATATGAGGCCTTTCCCATCCATAGATTAATCCAGGCATCCTGGAGAAAGAAAACATGATAAGGAGGATCTATAGCTACTATGGGGGATGCTGGTAGTGGCCCTATGAAGATGTGTATCATGGTTCTTGGAGACTCTGTGCTGAGGGGTACAGAGAGGGGCCTAGAAAGGCCAAACATGGCCAAAAGGGACAGATGCCATTTTTCAATAGCATGTATATGAAACATGGTGGAGAATCTGTCAAAATTAAACCACTTCTGTCTGTCGTTATTGGGAATGAATGCTCATACTGGAAGAAAACTAGATTTATCTTTTGTACTTTGAAGTTCTCCAATCCCATATCACTTGCTAATCACCTCCCCAACAATCAACATATCCCAAATGGGACTCACTGCATTTTTCACCAAACCCATCCCTTCTCCAAACGTCAACACTTTTGTTTCTGGTACTACCCTCCTCATGGCTACCCAGGTTTGTAAACCTGGAATTATCTTCGGTTTCTCTTTCTTTTCTCTCAAGCCCCATATTCAGTCAATTACCATGGCTTATTCATCCCACTTCCCCAGTTTTTCTTGTAGCTTTCCCCTTTTCTGTACTTACTCAGCCTCTATTCTATTTTTTCTCACCTGAACTATTGCAATAAATAGTTGGTCTTTTTGCCTATAATGTCTTTCTGCCTCAAGCCATCCCCAACTTATTCTTGGCAATGGGTACAGCTAGTGATGAGTAGCACCTCTATTGCCCATTGACAGTTCTGGGTTGCAGTTCCAGGGTAGAGAGGAGTGCTACTGGTCGGTCACAAGGAAGCAAAGGCCCTGGTCACAATTCTAAGGCAGACAAGAGCACTAGTGCTTGTGGCTGTGGGGGAGCAGGACCCTTTCCTGTGTAAAGACAAGAATACAGACCAGGAGAGCAGTGATCACACATCTTCCTGGATCACACCCCCTGGGAAGCACCAAAAATGTGCAGAAACCCGGAACTAGGATGTAAAAACAGCAGCACAAAAAAGCCTGAGGCTTAGCACTGTGCCTCTTCACTCCAAGGTGAGCAGAGCCCAACTTTAACATAAAGTTCAAAGTCAAGAAATAATGTGGAAAAATGAGCAAACAATAAAAAAAGAACTTGACCATAAAAAGCTACTATGGTGGCAGGGAAAACCAAGATATGAGCTCAGAAGACAGCAGTGTGAAAACAGCTACAATTAAAGCCTCAAAGAAAAATGTTAATTGGACCCAACGTCAACAAGAATTCATTGGAGAGTTACAGAAAGAGATAAGAGTGGCAAAGGAAAAATTAGGAAAAGAAAGGAGAATGATATGAGAAAAGGAGAATTAACAGCTTGGCTAAAGAGGCACAAAAAATGTTGAAGAAAATAGCACCTTAAAGAACAGAATTGATCTTTTGGTAAAAGAAGCACAAAAATTCACTGAAGAAAAGAACTCCTTAAAAACTGGAATTGGGCAAATGGAAAAAGAGGTACAAAACTTCACTGAAGAAAGTAATTCCTTAAAAATTAGTATTGGGCAAGTGGAAGCTAATGACTCCATGAGGCATCAAGAAACAACAAAACAAAGTCAAGGGCAGCTAGGTGGTGCAGTGGATAGAGCACCAGCCTAAGTCAGGAGGACCTGAGTTCAAATCCAGCCTCAGACCAAACACTTGACGCTTACTAGCTGTGTGACCTTGGGCAAGTCACTTAACCCCAATTGTCTCACTAAAAAAAAAAAACCAAAAAAGCAACGACAAACAAAACAAAGTCAAAAGAATGAAAAAATAGAGGAAAATGTAAAATATCTCCTCAGAAAAACAACTGACCTGGAAAATGGAGAGATAATTTAAGAATTGTTGGACCACCTTTAAGCTATGATGAAAAAAAGAACCCAGACATAATATTTCAGCAATTATAAATGAAAACTGCCCCAGTATCTTAGATACAGAGGATAAAATAGAAATGGAAAGAATCTACCGATAATCTCCTGAAAGAAATCCCCAAATTAAAACACCCAGGAATATTATTGTCAATTTCCAAAGTTCTAAGGTCAAGGAGAAAATATTGGCAAGCATCTGGAAACAAACAATTCATATATCGCAGAGTCACAGTCAAGATCACACAAGACCTAGCAGTTTCCATGTTAAAAGAATGGAGGGCTTGGAATATAATATTCCAGAAGGCAAGGGGGGAGCTAGGATTATAACCAAAAATAATCTACCCAGCAAAATTGAGTATAATCCTTCCGAGGAAAAATGGATATTTAATGAAATAGAGGACTTTCAAGCATTCCTGATGAAAAGACCAGAGCTGAATAGAAAATTTGACATTCAAAAATAAGACTCAAGAGAAGCATAAAAAGGTAAACATGAAAGAATAATCATAAGGAGCTCAATAAAGTTAAATTGCTTACATCCCTACATGGGAAGATGACATGTGCAACTCCTAAGAACTTTATCATTATTAGGGCAGTTTGAAGGAGTCTACGTAGACAGAGGGCATGAAAGTAAGTCGTTTATGTTGGGATGATCACCAAAAAAAATGAAAAGGTGAGAAAGAGGGATGCATTGGGGAGAAGGGAGAGGTAGAATAGGGAAAATGTTCTCATATCAAAGAGGTGTCTATATTAAAGAGGTTGAGTCTCGCTTTCATCAGAATTGGTTCAAAGAGGGAAGAATATCTACACATACTGTTGTGAGTGAAATTCAGCAGAAAGGTAGACTGAGATTTTTTCTCTCTGAGCGCAATAATGTTTGATTCACAGAGCATGGACCTGAGCATAAGGATGAGTCAATGGCTGCCTCAGTTTCTAATCAAAGACCTAAAGCAAAAGGACAGCTCCCCTTCTATAGGTTTTTGGGGAGCACAGAACAAAGAAAAGAACAGGATAGGTGACATCATGGGGTTGAGGGCCCCATGATCATTTCCATAGCTGGAGGCGTGGGGAACATATGATTGGTAGGAAGCAGGGAATGAAGGACTAGCAGTAAACCCTCTGCTTCCCTCCTGTGGCTAAGAAACATTCATTGTTCAAGTCAGCCTACAAGGTCAGACTCCTTTGGATGGTAAACCAGATATCCTTAAAGGATAGCTTGGTGGTGTAAAGGTACAAGACCTGACTCCCTTGTGCCCACCTGGATCCCCCAAGGATAGCAGAATTCCTTGAGGCAAGACTGAAACAGTGATTAGCAAGAGAACTGGATTACATGACTTAACCATTATAGGCCAGCTGAATTCTGAACTAAGTTCAGAAACAGAAAACCATGACTTAAGTGCTTATAAGACAAAATTAATTAATTGTGAGTAGGATCAATAAAAAATGATACAGAATCAATTTTTATCTTCTCAATACTCAGCTGGGTATAGAAACCTATCTTACTCAACAGGGAAATAGGAGGGGAAGGGGATAAGATATATGGTGGGGGGGAATAAAAAGGAGGGCAGATCAAGGGAGACAGTGGTTAGAAGCAAAATAAACTTTTGAGGAGGGATGGGATAAAAAGAAAGAGAAGGATAAACAGAAGAAAATAGGATGGAGAGAAATACACAGTTAGTAATCATAACTCTGAATGTGAACAAGATAAGCTCACCCATAAATAGCATAATGGATTAGAAACCAGAATCCAACAATGTGTTATTTACAACACACTTGAAACAGAAGGATACATACAGAGTTAAAATAAAGGACTGGAGCAGAATGTATTATGCTTCAGCTGAAGTAAAAAAGGCAGGGGTAACAGTCATGATCACAGACAAAACAAAAGCAAAAATAGACCTAATTAAAAGAGATAATTAGGGAAAACTACATTTTGCTAAAAGGCACCATAGACAATAAAGAAATATCAAAACTTTTTACAGTAAATTTTTTATAAAGGCCTTATTTCTCCAAATATATAGGGAACTGAGTTAAATATATAAAAATAAGAGCCATTTCCCAGTTGATAAATGTCAAAGGATATAAACAGGCAGTTTTTAGAAGAAGAAATCTATAATCATATTGAAAAATGATCTAAATCACTATTGATAAGTGAAATGCAAATTAAAACAACTCTGAGATACCACCTCACACCTATCAGAAATGACAAATACTAGTAGATTAATAAACTGTGGGTGGAGTTATGAACTGGTCCAGTTATTCTGGAAAATAATTTGGAACTATGCCCGAAAGGCTATAAAACTGAGCATACCCTTTGACCCAGCAATACCACTACTAGCTCTATTCCCCAAAGAGATCAGAGAAAAAGGAAAAGGACTGGTATTTGCAAAAATATTTATAGCAGCTCTTTTTGTGGTGGCAAGGAATTGGAAATTGAAGGGGTACTTATCAGTTGGGGAATGGTTGAGTAAGTTGTGCCATATGATTATGATGGAGTACTATTGTGCCATAAGAAATGGCTATGGGAGATGATTTCAGAAAAAATATGACAAAACCTGTATGGACTGATGTAAAGACAAGTGAGAAGAACCTAGAGATCACTTTGCTCAGTAATAGCGATGTTTTCATGATGATCGACATATAATCCAAGACGGTTCCAAAGGACCCATGATGAAAACTGATGAAGTCTGAGTACAAATTGAAGTATAATTTTTTTTCTCTCTCTCTCCTTCTTTCTTTCTCACAATATAGCTTATGTTTTGCATAATTTCACATGTATAATTAATATATTGCTTGTCTTCTCAGTGAGTGGGGGAGGGTAGAAGGGAAAGGGAATTTGGAACTCAAAACTTCAAAAAGAAAGAATGTTAAAAATAAATAAACAATGAATTTGTTAAAAAATTAAAAAAAGAAATTACTTATTACCTTGTATTTATTTTATATTGCTTACTTGCTTGCATATTACATGTGCCCCACCCCTCTGTAAAATGTAAACTACATGAAGGCAGAGATTCTTTTGCTTTGTGTCCTGGGCATCTAACATAGTACCCTGCTCATGTGCTGAATTAAATAGAATTAGGCAAGATACTGAAGGATCCGAGGGGCATGGATGTAGTTTTCATTTTTTCCTCTAACATTCATATTGAGCTTTAAGGTTTACTAAGTACTTCACATATTGTGCCTCATTTGATTTTCACAGCAAGCCTGGAAGGTAGGTGCCATCATTATCCTCATTTTACAGCTCAGGAAACTTAGGTTGAGAGAGGTTAAATGCAGGTTCATGCAGTTAGGAAGTGTCTGGGGTAGGATTCAAACTTGTCTCCTAAATCTGTATCTAACTCACTATCCACTAGGCCAATTTGCCTCCCAATAATAGAAGATGTAGATTTCGGGAAAAAAGGAACATAGGGGAAGTAAAAATATGAATGAGAAGATCTGATTGAATAGAAGATATCAAAGAACGTGGTTTAGTTATCTGAGCTATGCCTTAAAATCTTGGAATGATAGATTCCTTTCTAGGGACCAAATGTATCTCACAAGTAATGGGATGAATGTGTTGGCCAAAGACTTGTGAATGTGATCAAGGGGTTTTTAACCTAAAAATGGAGGCTTCAGAAGAACAATTTCTAGATAAAACTGTAAAACTAGATATGTTGAAATATGAGGACTATATCACAATAAGTAATACATAGATATGGCATTACCTGAAGAGTAATACTGAGGGAGATACCCAGTAATTCATGGGAGAAAATTAATTGTAAAGAGGTTCACAAACATTAACCGTGGTCCCAGTTGATTAAATACCAGTGGATAATAGGTATATTGTAGGACATAGGTAATAAAATGAACTTGAAATTTTACATAATTTTTACGTAAGGAGAAAAATGCAACCTCACTGGACTCTCTTGTGAGGAAGTGAGTTCTCTGCCACTTGTCACTGTGTTTAAAAAGAGGTAGGATAGCTACCCATTAGGACAGGGTTTTTTAAACTTTTCCCGCTCATGACCCTTTAATTTCGGCATTCGCATGGCCCGAGGGCATGTACAGTCAAAGTGCACATGCTTTGTGTTCACAACCGAGGCTGCAGTGAAGTTGCATGTACAACACAAGCAAGGTCTGTTACAGTAGTGGTTCTGCTTCTGGGCGTCAGGATGGTGGAGTAAGGAGTAAGTCGCTCTCACCCTCCCTTATTGACCTCTGAAAGCCCAGAAAATATTGCCCCAGGAAAAGCCCCGAGCCAGCAAAAAGACAAAGCACAGCAGTCTTATAGCCCAGAAAGCTTGGGGGTTTGATGGGAAAGGCCCCTCTTGCTCTGGGGGAGTGGAAGCAATATAGGAAGGAAGGAGTCCCAGTAAGCCAGCAGCAAGCCCCACCTCAGCATACCAGGGGGAGATCTTGAGACCTAGGTCGGTGGAGCAGGCAAGTGCCAACACTAGGATGCAAGAGCCTCAATACAGGCAGGGGAACTGGGAGACACCAGCTCTGAAAACCACTGTAAGTGATGGCATTCTTCAGCAGCCAAATCACCCAGTGCCTCAACACAACTCTGGGAAGCACAACTCCAGGAGGCAAAATTCCAGACTGACAGACATCCGCCAGCAGCAAAACATCCCCTGTGCAAGGCCCCATTGAGCAGGGGCCAGACATTCAAGTGCAAGGCCCAGGTGATCAGGAAAAGAAGCTTGGGTAAGTGCCCCCTTGCTCCAGCAGGAGAGCTCAACTTTTTTTTTTTTTAAGCCAGGAAATAGGCAAACACCATGCGTAGAAAGCAGAAATGTGCAATGACCATAGATTTTTATTATGCGGAAAGGGAAGATCAAGGCACAAATTCAGAAGAGGAGGATAACATTGTCAATATACTCACATCTGAAACCTCAAAGGGAATATGAACTGGCTTCAAGCCCAAAAAGCCTTCTTGGAAGAGTTCAAGAAGGATTTTAAAAGTCAAATAAGAGAGGTAGAAGAAAAATTGGGAAAAGAAATGAGAGGTATGCAAGAGAGAGTCAGTAGCTTGGAAAAGGAAGGACAAAAATTAACTGTAGAAAACAAGTCCTGAAAAGGTAGAATTGGCTATATGGAAAAGGAAGCGCAAAAACTCATTGAAGAGAAGAACTCCTTAAAAAGTAAAATGGGCCAAATGGAAAAGGAGGTACAAAATGTAATAGAAGAAAACAATTCCTTAAAAATTAGAATGGGGCAAGTGGAAGCTAATGACTGTATGAGAGAGCAAGAATCAGTCAAACAGAAACAAAAAAACACAGGCAAGAGCGGCCAGAAACACCTTGGATTCATTAAACATTTGATTTTTAATTAATTTTTGGTCATTGCACATTCAGAAAACTTTTACTTTTAAAAATTTTTCACAACCCCATATGAGGTTGTGACTCACAGTTTAAGAAGTGCTGCATTGGGAAACCTAGAGGAGTTCACTCATGGAATAAAATGTTGGCCTAGCTGATCGCTAGGGGGCAGCTAAGTGGCGCAGTGGATATGAATGCTGGGCCTGGAGTCATGAAAACTCATCTTCTGAGTTCAAGTATGGCCTCAGACACTTACTAGCTGTGTGAACCTGAGCAAGACAATTAACCCTGTCGGCCTCAGTTTTCTCATCTGTAAAATGAGCTGGAGAAGGAAATGGCAAACCACTCTAGTATCTTTGCCAAGAAATCCCCAAATGGTGTCATGGAGAGTCAGACACAACTGAAATGACTGAATAACAACTAGCTGATTTCTAAGGTTCTTTTCCAACATTAGTATTTTGTGATTGTCTAGATCACGGCAAAGATTTTGTTCAGTGTCAAGTCAATGAAAATAAACAATGCATTATATCACACGACGTTAGTAATTTTAAATTGGAAAATTATTTCTTTCGAGAAAAGAGAGCAAATAGTCTTTTTCTTTTCATAATCTGAAACTTGGTTTCAGAAAGGGTATTGTTAGTTCCTTTCCTTGATTCTGTGTGTGTGCGTGAGAGAGAGAGAGAGAGAGAGAGAGAGAGAGAGAGAGAGAGAGAGAGGAGGGAGGGAGAGAGAAATTTGATTTACAAGGGGTCCCTTAGCTAAGGTAAGCACAGCCACCTCCAAATCATGGCACTTATGTCTGATTATATCATTACAGATACAGACCAATTCCAGAAGATCTTCTTCTTCAAGCATTTGAGGTATCTAATCACTAGAGTTTTAAAATTCAAGTCATTAGTCAACTTGAAATTGACTTCTAAACCTGAAAAGGTCATACTTTTCTCTTATTTCCCTGTAGGTGTTAGATTCAGCTAAAGAGGGATTTCTTACTAAAGAAGAGTTGGTCAAGTATATGACTGAAGAAGGTAAAAATGATTTACTACTTGTAAAAATCAATTTATACAAATATTAATAATGCCAGTAATAATTAAATACAACAAAAGCTTTATTTGTCATTTGGTAGCAGTTGGTGACAGTTGATAGAAAAATTAGTATTAAGTAATTCATGTTTCTCCAAAGTGAACTTCCTCATTGCTTCTCTTATTTGTTCTCCCAGAACCTACATAAGAAAGAAGGAACAATGATTTATGTACATCTACACAATGATTTTGCACATCATTGTTTATTTAAACAACCTGTGAGACAGAGAACTGTGGTTTTCTCAAAATATTAGGAGCAATAACTGCCAGCAAATAACTGTTAGAGGACATTAGAAGTGTCTAATTTCTATAATCTGACAGTTGATAAAGTAACAGATAAGTTTTTTATGTGTTTACATTTACTTAAACATCTCTCTTTTTGTAGAAAATAGACAAAGATAAAAAATCCTGTTGCTCATAATTGCTTTGGGCAAGAAGTTGGTTAGGGACTGGACCTGTGATGTCACTGAATTGTGATGTCATTTATAGAGAGAACTCTCCTACCAATGCAAGTTGGTACCTTCTCTGCAATCTATAGTTTTAGATCAGGCCTGCACAACCTGCGTTGTGCAGGCCTGTTTTAGATAGTTGTTTAGAACACGGAGAGAGTTAAGAAATTTGTCCATTGTCATAACAAGTATATGTCAGAAGTGAGGCTTAAACTCAGGCCAATTTTCTGTCCACTATGTTATGATGTGCCTTTTGAGCAAGAAGATACTTCCCTCCCTTCCTCTCCCCTCCTTCTCTCTGTCCCCATCTGTCTCTCTCCTTCTGTATCACTATATGGATATAGATACATCTCTCTCTGTCTCTAATCTATATGGTTTTATCTAAATGGATATCGACACATAGAAACAGAGAGACATACACATATATTCATATCCGTAGCTATTTCTTTCTCCAGGGTGTCACAGAAGTCATCGTGTGTGTGTGTGTGTGTGTGTGTGTGTGTGTGTGTGTGTATGGAAAGAGAGAGAGAGAGAGAGAGAGAGAGAGAGAGAGAGAGAGAACTCATTTACCTTGTTAATTGTATCTCCCAAGGCTAATATTAAAATTAGTTAGTACTCTCCAAGTTTAAATAGCCTGATAGACATTGTCCTGAGGTAACTGTCAACCTAGTCATTTTCCATACAAAGTAAAAGCTTGGTCTCCATGCTTAGCTCAAAGGCATGCACACGGAAAGATGTAAATTTAGCTTGTTGTCAGGTAGAAAGTCACCAAAAATTAAGAGTTTCCCAAAGTTGAATGGGATGCCTTATGATGTAATGGGTTCCCCCTCCCCTGAGGTCTTTAAGCAAAGGCTGGATGACAACTTGTCAGGTATGACCATATAATTATTTGACTACTATTCTAAGTTCCTTAGGACTCAGGTCACATCCACTTAGATTTACATGGCAGTAGGTCTAGTCTTTCTCAGTCAGAAGTAAGGCAGTTGTAGGAGTTCTGATATGAGTAACAGATATTTTTGTATATCTTTGTCTATTTTCTACAAGAATAGGTAAGTTTAAATAAATGTAAATACATCAAGGAGGACATTGACCTCCATCTAGGTTTTAAGAGTTTTAATGTAGCTTAAATTGTCTCTGAATTCTTGGGGGGGGGGAATAAAAACATTGTTCCAGCAGACTTACAGAAACCCCTTTGAATCATTCTAGAACCGTGAACTCAAGTCAAATCTGGAAGACACTGTTTGTATTGGCAGTGACTTCAGCTCAGGGCAAATGAACTCAGACCCATTTCACCCAATCCACTAGTGTTCAGGGGCTGCTGTGGACACATCCCTGTATTCTTGTCTCTGGTATTAGTATGGAATACCACTTTAATTAGTTCCTGGTCTTGCCAGAATTCTTCCCAGGGCCACTTTCCATCTTGGTGAAACCAGTTTCCAGATGGCTCACATCTATTATCTGAAGCCAACTAAAACCTACAGATTCTCCATTCAGCTTTTTTGGTTTAATTGTGCAACAATCCACCGAGCCAAGCTGAGACAAAGAGAGGCATTTTGAAATGGTTGTCATGTGGCATCTCTCACTGGTATTACCTCATATGTCTAAGATGGCAGGTTCTTATTAAGGCACCTTCAGAGCCAGAATGTTCACATCCAAAAGTTTCAGATACGGCCCCATCAACCAGATTTGCACAGAAGCCATGTGGCCTTCTATTCACAGCCTTCTGAAACCTGACTTCTTGAATCCCCTTTCCAGACAGGAGTTGCAGTTTGATCTTTTGGCATTTTAGCGGCCTTGTTTAACGTAAGCTTCTCTGGCAGTGATATCTTGATATCTTGCTTGTTGTTTCAGGTGAAATTAGAAGCTCTGCAATTTCCTTAGACTCTATTAGCAGGTAAAGAAGACAGATCCAGATTCTAACAAGGAGAAAAGGGCAGGATAGAGCCAGGCATAGGTGACACGCCAGGGAACGCTTTATGCCACAGTGCCCTGTCGAAAAACTCTCGACACATGAGAACAAATGAGGTAGAATTGTATGGGGTTCTATAGGCAGTTAAGCTTGGCGTTGGCAGACAGAGGAATGAAGGAAACCAAAGAATTGGAGATTAGATCATATATCTCTCGCTATGATTCTGTGAACTAAAATTATTTTTTTCCTTTCCTATCTATTCCCAGGTGAGCCTTTTACCCAGGAGGAAATGGAAGAAATGTTGTCTGCTGCACTTGATCCAGAAACAAATACAATTCAGTACAGAGACTATTTAGCAATGATGGTGATAGATGAAAATTAAAAGGTTTCATACATTTAACTATTTTCAGATTTTTAACTTCAATTTCCTACTTCTGATTAATGGATATTAGTTTAGAAAAAACTGGGAAAATGTTATATTTATAACTTAAAGCATTTGTAGATATAGACAACTCTTAGAAATTTTTAAAGAAACACTAATGTTCTATGGACTTTTGCTATAAAATTTTAGTGTGTTACCTGAGAAGGATTTGTTTCTTCTCTATGAAAGTACAGACCACCATTAAAATATCATTGAATTAATTATGCAAAGACAGTAGAGAATAACTGACTTGGCACAAGCCAAGCTATTCTACCAGCTCTATGAGTGGCACAGAAGCCTATGATCTCCTATCAGTTAGTATGGGATGACAATTTCCAAAGAGATCATGGTGGGTGGGGGAAGTGACAGCACTCCCAATGAGGTGCAAACACCAAAGAGGGCTTACTTACCATGTTTCCTTTTTCATAAAGAAAAATTTCCATCTCTGACACACATCAGTAATGTTTCAATGTTTTCTTGTTTCCAGGTAATTTTAGGGCCATGATTGGCTAGATAAGATGGTAGAAGTAGGATCAGAACGGTCATCTTTCTTATTTCCTCTTAAGATTTGGAATATTATCTGTAAGATCTAGTGTGCTACCATTAAAAAACAAAACCAAAACTCTTTCATCTGCACTGGGATGATTATTATTATAATTTTGGACATAGGGAAAAAGCTTCCTAGATCTTCCTTATGCCTCAGTTTAGGGGTGTGATGCAAAATAGGGAAATTGCATAGCAACAGATTGCACTCCTAAGAGAGAATCCCCAAAGGTACTCTGTTATCTTTAAATAACTTTGGCCACTGCCAAGTAGAATGCCCTTGAGTCATTTTCTTTTGAAGAGGTTATTTGTTTTAGGGAATCATAGCTTTCCCTTGAGAGGCTGTATATGAAAACTAGCCTAGATTCTAGGACAGCTAGAATATCAAGGTCTTAACATCGGAGAGAAAAGGCTTCAGTTTACCATAACTTACTTATACATGTGTACATGCATGGATACATTCCTTAGAAAGCATTATCAGTTTTTTTTACATTCACAGAGGAATCAATCCCAAGTCATAAATCCATCCTTAGATGCATTATAAAAAAGGGGGATAGGAGCTAAAAACCAGATGTTATGGGATTCATTGTGGGTTTTTTGGGGGCACTAATGCCACCTGACAGAGATCCTTTGTAGAGACAGTGAGGTGGTGCAGTGGATAGAGCGCTGAGCCTGAAGTCAGGAAGACCTGGCCTCAGACACTTAACAACTATGTGACTCTGGGCAAGTCATTTAACTGCTCTCTGCCTCAGTTTCCTCTTCTGTAAAATGAGGATAATAATAGTACCTACCTCACAAGGTTATTGTGAGGACCAAATGAGATAATATATGTGTAAAGCACTTAGCTTGTTTCCTTCCTGCCTTTAAGGGACTGCATTTCCCTAGACACACTCTGTGGGGCTGCTTCACAGGCAATCCTTTCTCAGCAGACCTGAACATTTCAATAACTCGTGGTAATAGTGGAGATTGAAGTCCAGGTCTTTTTCCAGAACACAACTTCAGTCCCTTGTTACTCTTCCTGAAGGGGACCACTTACTTGGTCAGTCCTCATCTCTTTTCAATATGCATGTTGATCAGGAAATTCCCATTTTCTTGTTAAGAAGACTGGGTTCCAGGAGTCTTCAACTTAGGGGTTTCTCTCAGGACAACCCTGAGGGCTTATGCTGTGCAAGAAATTTTTCTTCCCTGTCCAGAAAGCTAGGTTCCAGTATCATGCTACTTAGGAGGAAATCCCCCTTCTAGGGCTACAAAACCAGATTAAAAGATGCTTGAATTTGGGGTTAACTGTGACCCAAGACTAGCATTGAATGGAAACTCTCCACAGACCACATGGGGCAAGCACATACAGCTTGCCTGTTGTTTCTGTTGAAATGTAGTCATCAGAGGCTCCTGGGCAGGGGTAGAGAGTCACCCCCTTAACATACCCATGCTGGGATCTTGGGAAGAAAGACAGAAGGAAATGGATGAAAAAGAATACGGTGATGTGAAGATGATTCCTTTTTCACACCAGCAAAAAAGGGTGGTTCTTCTGACAAGCCTGTCCTCCAGAGTCTAAACCAAACACATCCTATCAGCCCACATCAGTGAAACCCATCTTCCGGGAGGTACAAAGGTGTAGCTCCAAACCACCAGTTCATCTTGGAGTCAGCCCCTGTCACTGAACCTAAATAGGGAGATGTATTTTTTCCTCTCAATTGAATACCAAATGGGCATGTCCATTGTCTATAAGAAAAATAGTTTTAAAATTCTTGAACAGAGGTTCACCACCCTAAAAGCCCAAGTTCATTCAATCAAGTATTGATTAACCTCCTTGTTGTGTCCCAGGCACCGTGCTAAGGTGCTGGAGATACAAGTACCAAGAAGGAAACAGTCACTACTCACAAGGAACTTGCATCCTAACTAGTACATATAAAAGATATGCAGCATAAATGCTAAGTGAATAAATAAATATATTATGCATGTTTGTATCACACACAAAGTAGTTAAATACAAGGTAGTTCAGGAGGGAGGACACTAGCAGCTGGAGGGATCAGGAAAGACTTCATGCAGAAGATGGCATTCAAGCTGCATCTTAAAGGATGAGAAGTTGACTGGGGAACTTGGATGCTCAGCCCTGTCCACCGGATGTCTGTTGGGGCAAATCTCCCTTCCTGGTAAGTTCATCAGATTGTTCGAGGAACATCCTCGGATCAACCCCATTCCTTCTTCTGCCTCTACTGTGTATTAGGTACTAGGAATAGAAAGACTCAAAGAAAAGCCTCTGTCTTCTAGGAGTTTATGTTCTGCTAGTTGAGCTACCATGTACACATAAATGAACTCAATACAAAGAAATATGAGGGAGAGAATCAGGGAAGGTTTCAAGGAGGAGGCTATACCTGAGCTGAACCAAGATCTTGAGACAGGAAGAACATTATAGCTATGAGGACTGGCCCAAGGGAATGTATTGGAGCAGGAGAGAGACTGTCAGGTTCAGATAGTCCAGTTCAGGGGTGGGGAATCTGCTACCTCGAGGCCACATGTGACCCTCTAGGTCCTCAGCTTAGGCCTTTTGACTGAATCCAAACTCTAGGTCCTGAATCCAAGTTTGGATTCAGTTAAAGGGTTGCACTTGAGGACCTAAAGGGCCACATGTGGCTTGGAGGCCTCAGGTTCCCCACCCTGGTCCATTTTATCTGGGACTGGGAGTTTGTGAGGGGAATTAGTGTGAAGTAAGCTAGGAAAGGTGGGTTGGAGCCAGATTGTAGAGGGCTTTAAATGGCAGGCTGAGAACTTCACATTTGTCTTTGATCAAGGAAGCAATATGGTCATTAAAACAGAGGCTCCCAGAGTTGGAAGGGGCGTTAGGCTTTCCAGTCAGACTCGTACCTGAATAACAATCCCCTCTATAATGTACTTGAAAATAAGTGGTGAAATCTTTGCTTGAAGATGTTTGGTGAGAGGGAAGTTATTTCTGAAGGCAGCCTCTTCCACTTTGGGGTGGCTCTAATTGTTAGGAGGTTTTCCCAGATGGGCCAGATCTGCTTCTCTGAAGCTTGCACTCATTATAGCTGCTACCTTGTGGGACCTAGAAGAACAAATCCCAGGGGCAGCTTGGTGTATTGGAAACAGCACTGATTTTGTGTTCAAAGAATGTGGCTTCAGATCTCACCGTGCCACTTACTATCTATACGGCTTTAGGCAAATTACAATTTTGGGGGGTTTCAGTGTCCTTATCTATAAAATGAGCTGATTGTACCCAGTGATCTCTAAGACCCCCTTGTTCCTCTAAATAAATGATCTTATGAAGTCAGTCATTATTAAGCCCCTACTATGTGCCAGGCAGTGTACTAAACACTAGGGAAATGTATGCGAAAGAGAGTCCCTGCTCTGAAGGAGCTCATAGTCTAATGCCCCTTTCCACATGGTTTGCCATTTAAATACCTGGAGACGACTACCAAGTTCTCCCTAAACAACATGTTCTTTCAGCCTTCTCGTCTTCACTCTAAACATCTCTAGTTCTTTTGACTCATTCTCATATGGCTTGACTTTGAGGCATTTAATCATTTTGCTTATCCTTCTCTGGACTCTGTCCTGCTTCTTAATGTCCCAATTAAATTTCAGCGTCCAAACCCAAACATAGTGTTCTACATACAGCCTGACTGAGGACAGAGGACAGTAGGATGACAATTGCCTCACTCCTAGACACTGTTGTAGTGCGGTGGATAGAGCACTGGCCCAGGAGTCAGGAAGACCTGAGTTCGAATCCAACCTCAGACACTTACTGGTTGTGGGACCCCAGGCAAGTCACTGAATCTCTGCCTGACTCAGTTTTCTCAACTACAAAATGGAGATCTACCTCCCAGGGTGGTTGTGAGGATCAAATGAGGTGGAGCTGCCTCTTTGACGTTCTCTGATTCCCTCACCTTGGCCAGGTAGGGTTTCCTCCTCGAATTTCTTTGTATTAAGCTCATTTGTGTGTGTATTGTGTCTCAACTGTTGCGAAGATCAGTGTTTATGAAGTTCTTGGCAGAGTACCTACCACATTTTTGTTGTTGTTTGTTGTTGTTCAGTTGTGTCAGTGTCTTCATCATTGCATTTGGGGTTTTCTTGGCAAAGATACTGCAGTGGTTTGCCATTTCCTTCTCCAGCTTATTTTGCAGTTGAGGAAACTGAGGCAAACAGGGTGAAGTGACTTGCCCAAGGTTGTGCAACTAAGTGAATATCTAAGGCCAGATTAGAACTCAGGAAGATGAGTCTTTCTGACTGCGAGCCCAGTACTCTTATCCGCTTGGCCACTTAGCTGCCTAGCACATAGTAGGTGCTTAATAAAAGTTTGACTTTTCCTCCCTCCCCCCTTATTGTAGCCTAAGAGTATATTAGTTCTTTTGGCTATCATATTACATTTTTTGTTTGTTTGTTTTTGTTTCAGCTAGGCAGTGGGGTTAAGTGACTTGCCTAGGGTCACACAGCTAGTAAGTGTCAAATGTCTGAGGTTATATTTGAACTCAGGTCCTCCTGACTCCAGGACCAGTGCTCTATTCATTATGCCACCTGGCTGCCTCACCACATTACCGTTGTTGACTCGTATTGAGCTTTCTCCGTCCATGAAAACCCCCAAGTTTTTGTTCAGATGAGTAAAGTCAAGCCTCCCATATCATGTACTTGTGAAGCTGATTTTGTTTAAACCCAAGCATAATGCTTTGCTTTTGCTCAATTTCATCTTACTTGATTCTACTCCATACCTTAGACTGTCAAGATCTTTTGGGATAGTGACTCCTGACGTTTCAGCTTGAACATTTTGGCTCTTGACATATTAGTGATTCTTCCTAGCTTTGTGTCATTTGCAGATTAGCTAAGCATGACATCTCTGCTTTTTTCTGAGACATTGATGAAAATGCAAAATGGCTTAGGGCCAAGCCTGGTCTTTGGGACACTCCCCTACGCACCTCTTTTCAAGTTGACATTGAGCCATTAATGACTCCTTTTTGCATCTGGCCAATCAATCTGAATCCAAATAACTGAATTATTGCCTAGCCCACATCTCTCCGTCTTTATTTTTAATTTTAAAGGATAACTAGCATGAAAGACTTTGTCAGCTGCTTT